TTTCACGAAACCAGCTTTAAAACAGTCAGTTCTATTCCCACCGATCCACATCTTCCTAGAGTCAAAGTCAACCAACCACTTCTTGTTTCCAGTAAGATGGTTTGAACACCCTGTGTCCATATACCACCATTCTGATGAATTCAGATCATCAGGTTCAGAATCCAACAATAGCACAGGTTCATCATCAGAGTCTCCTCTTGCTATATTTGCTTTTTCTAACTTCCTTTCTTTGTTGGATCAGAAATCTCTTGCATAGTGACCAAAGTTCTTGCAACAGTCACACTGAACATTCTTCTTGTCAGACTTCTCCTTTCCCTTCTGGACATTCTTCTGCCTATCAGAATTTGAAGCTTATGACTTTTGACCACCATTAGTTTTCTTCTTGGATTCAGACCAAGTCTGCTTCTGATGCTTCTTACCAGAAGTTACTTTCAGAGCCTGCTGCTCTACTTCCCTCTCAGAAGTTCTTGCAGTCATACGCAACTCATGCGCCTCTAGACTACTTTGCAGCTCTTCAACTCTCATGGTGCTCAGATCTTTAGAATGTTCAATTGCTACCACAATGTAATCAAACTGAGAAGTTAAATATCTCAAGATCTTCTCAATAATTACTTGTTCAGACAGAGTTTCTCCACAAGCTTTCATCTCATTAGTGATCAGAATATCTCTAGAGATGTATTCAGAAACCTTCTCGTTGTCCTTCATGTTGAGATTCTCATATTGCTTTATGAGAGACTAAAGCTTCACCTTCTTCACTGATGCGTCACCACCGTAACATCTGACCAGTGTGTCCCACACAGCCTTTGCTGTTTCAGAATCAACAATCTTCTCAAACACATCCACATCCACACATTGATGGATGTAGAACAACGCTTTCTGATCTTTCTTCCTCAACGCCTTCTGTGTTATCTTCTGGACCTCTGCTGCGTCTGCTTCTAACAAATTATAGCCATCAGTGACAAAATCTAACACATCTTGAGAACCAGATAACACGCGCATCTAGATCTTCCAACGATTCCAGTTTTTACCATCAAATACTGGAAGCTTGGAATGAATATCGTCGTCGTTTTCGTTCATCTTCTACCTTGTGCAATTTTACGCAGAAATTCAATGAAAAAACAATGTTTCCCAAATTCCAGAGTTTCTAACCAGGAGCTCTAGATACCAATTGTTAGAGCACAAGAAAGATAAAAGATAAAAGGAATATTTACTGATAGCTTCAAAATAAAAATTTACAATGAATTATAATAACCTACTCCACTAGGCTATTTATACACAAAAATTAAATCTAAAATATATCTTCTACAAAGATATAAGAAGATCTAAGATATATATCTTCTAACAAAGATATAAACAATCAAAAAAATATTTTTAAATATAAATTAATATCTAAATAAATCTAAATTAATTCTAACAATCTCTTCATGTACATCGTTCATCTTCAAATATATATTATTACTCAGCATACTCTAATAATATTATGTTAATAGATATAAAAAAGAAATACGAAAAAATATAAAAATTAATCTTTAACTTGTTTTTAAATTATGCTTGTCGTAAAATCAATATGCACCACAAAATGAGTGCATTAATAGCTTTTTTCTAATATATCAACGATCAACTTTGATAATATCTTATATTTTAAACTACTATTTTTCCACCAATTTAAAACACAAAGATTTATCATCACTATCCGGAATATAAAATCTTTCTTAAAAATAAGCTTACAATTATAATTTTATTGGAGGAATGATTTCCTTTTCACACAAATACTCATGATTTGGTCAAAATTCAATGACAATTGAAACTTAAGGCTCCCACAATTATTTTCGCCATTTGAAACTTAAGGCTCCCACAATTATTTTCTCTAACACACCCAAGTGCCCTCCTTTTCAATCACCAAGAAAAAAACAATCAAAACCCTATCTAAATAAAACTTCATCGGTTATTTTTTCAACATCAAGAGAGTTTACTCAACCCATTCTCCAGTCTTCCGCATTGCTAAAGATGACTCTTAAAAATTCACAAACACATACACATAATATAATTCTTCTAATATACATTTCACCTTGTATACATCATGGGAAAAGATAATTAATTTATTATAACTTTTTACTTTTAGGATAACAGTTATAACTTTTTTTAATAAGGAGAACTTTATAAAAAATTAATTAATTTATTATTTTAGATTATTTATTTATTTATTTTAAAAGCTATAAATACTACTTTAAAAAAAAATAAAACTAGTTATTCTTAATATTATTTTTCAAATTCAATTTATATAAATAAATCAACTATTCACTTTAAAATTTCCTTTATATATATATATATATATATATATATATATATATATATATATATATATATATATATATATATATATATATATATATATATATATATATATATATATATATATATATATATATATATATATATATATATATATATATATATATATATATATATATATATATATATATATATATATATATATATATATATATATATATATATATATATATATATATATATATATATATATATATATATATATATATATATATATATATATATATTTATTTATTTAAAAAGACTCATATTTTGTTCTCTATTGAATACTATTGTTTTTAAATTATCAAATATAATTGTTTATAATTTTCATATATTTTTCAGGAATTTACAAAAATTAATTATGTATACTTAGTTAAAAAGATTTTTCTTTTTTTCTTTTTTTTTGAAATTATTTTTAAATCACCAAACATGATTGTTTATAATTTTATATATATTTTAAGATTTTACAAAATTATTTTGTACACTTAATTTATAATTTAATATAATATATACTATTACACTTAAATAGGCAAGTATAATAGAAATAATAGATTTTTCTGTAAGTCTTAAATTAATAAGCTCTTAAAATGATTGAGTCTGATCTTTTATCAAACAAGTTAGAAAAAATAAACTTTAATTAAATTGGACTATAGGCCTCTAATGGCCGGTCTAACCTATTCTTACCACTAAATATTACTTAACTTTTTAAATGTAATATTTTTTGAATAAGTCACAATAACTAAAAAAATTAATGGTAAGTTATAAAAATTAATATTAATTTTTAAATATTACTTTTAGGAAAGAGATTTAATTAATGGTTATATTGAAATATTTCTTATATATTATATGAAAATATGTAAATTAGTTAGAGGTATTTTAGTATAAAAAAATTAATATAGTTTAAAATTCTAATAAATCTTTAAATGAGACAAAAAAATCAAATGTGTCTTTAATATATAAAAGAACACATTTCATTTTCTTCACAAAAGAAAAAAATTATATTTTTCTATACTTTTTTTACACATATTTTTCTTTATTTATGAAATAAAAAATAATAAATGTATTTCAAAATAAAAGAAGAAGCCTCTACGATCTGGTTTTTGACATTAGGAAGTAATCTGTATTTGGAATAAACAGTCACATTAATTAATGTTTATATAGTTTGTGGTTTTGCTTTACAATGCATTAGTGTTTATTTAATTAAATTACACAAAAATATAATACCCTCTTGTCATAGTGCCATTGTATTATGAAAATTAAAATTTGGTTTGTGGATGCACTATAATATGTGTTCTAACCGCTAGCTAAATGCAACATGTTAGCATTTTTATTACATGCATAAACACATACTCACCACACAAATATATACATTAATATCGTGGCCGATTTAAAGCATAGAGGAAGTGGATGTTAATACAAGTATAAAATGACTGAAGTGGATTTCATTCATGGTTAAATAAAGTAGAATGTTATCTCAACATTATATAAATCATTACTTAATATTATTCAAGCAAAGGTGAAAAGTCAGCTTTGACTCATTGAGGGGGGAAAGTGGCAGACTGCACAATTAGAGATCTAAATAATGGTTTGAATATTATCTGTGTAATTTTTTATTTTTTTTTATAAATAATGTATTCTCCACATAATAGAAGTTAACTCTTAAATCGGAGAGAATTATAGACGATAAAACTCTTCTTCAAGAAATTTAATTCAAATATATATTTAAGATTGAGTTCGAATTTAGAATCTCTAGTTAAACTAAAAGAAATCTTTACCATCTAAACCATATTTATTTGTATTATAATTTTTATTAGTTAATGTTTAGTATCATTTAACAACTATGTTTTTAGACTATTTGAATTCACGAAATTGAATTTTGAAGTTAAACTCTTACCACACATCTTTTCGGTTCTTGCGTATTCACTGCTAAAATTTGCAGTAAGGTTCAAATTTGAATTGGTATTAAGTGGAGTTGTCTTTGTTGGAAACTCACAAAAATATATGATGAATTTCTATCAATCTTGATTAACAAAGTTGTTATCACTATACAATAACAATGAAAAGAAAGAAATATTAAAGAAGAAAGAAAATTAGGGTTTGATATACTACGCCAAATAAGCTATTTAATAGCGCTTTTTTTTGTTTTTGATAGCGCTTAAAAGTGCTATTAACCGCGTCACTATTGTAAATATTTCTTATTTAATAGCACTTTAAAAGCGCTATTAAAGTACCAATTTATAATAGCGTTTTAATTAAAGTGCTATCAAAGTCAGTATTTTGCATGTTTTTTGTTTGTTTTTTTATAGCACTCTAAACAAAAAGCGCTAATATATAACATATGTTTGATAGCGCTTTCAAATAAAGTGCTAATAAATGGTACATATTTGGTACAATATTTTTAATAAGTACAGTACAATATTTTTTCTTACACAATCATTTTTTTTGGTGTAAATATAAAATAACTATATTCAATTCAACACAAATAACGCTTTAAGTTACTCATTGCATATATATTATGATCCATCAAATACCAAATAACATTTTAAATTACCAAATCCTATTGTTTCCAAATATCATAACATATAGAATATTAAGAGGGCGTTTGCATAGCCAAATTTGTAGATGCCCATCTATGAGTACTTCAATCCAAATCCAAAAACATACAATCAAATTCTCTAAACAAAACACCAAAAAAAATAAGAAAAGAAGCATTCCATAGCTGTAAACATCTGCTTTTACGGTTATCGGTCGATTACTAACCCATTCTGGTGCCAAATAGCCTCTAGTGCCTCTTACCATTGTTACCACATGAGAATGTTCCCTTGCCATCAATTTAGCAAGTCCAAAATCAGATACCTTGGGACAAAAGTTTTCATCTAACAATATATTTTCTGGCTTGATGTCACAATGTATTATCTTGTTTCTACACTGCTCATGAAAGTATGCAATCCCTTGTGCAGTATTTTTGGCTATATCAAAACGAGTTTGCCAATCGAGCAATCTATCTGGTCCTCGAATCGAAGGGAAGATCCACTGATCCAATGAACCATTCTTCATGAACTCATAAACTAAAAGCCTGCAAAACAAACATTGCTTAAGCCAACTAAAGCGATGAAATTTGAATTCTTACGATGAAATTGTAAATAAAATAGTACACACCTCTGAGGTCCCTCAGAACAAAAACCACATAAACGAACCAAATTCATATGATGCATTGAGCCAATCGTGTTTACTTCGGTGATAAATTCTTTCTCTCCATGAGGCAAAATCTTATCAAGTTTCTTCACCGCGACTAAGGTACCATCTCCTAAGCTTCCTTTATACACACTTCCAAATCCAACTACAAAATATAAACAGTTAGCAACAAATTATATTAAAATCAAAGCGCGGTAAGATTCAATTCATTATAGGACACACATACCTGTTCCTAGAAGCTGCGAAAAGTTACTTGTCCTGATCTGCAAAGCGCGGTAAGTAAAATTCACTGGAGCACCTGATAAGACCAATGAACATTCCATCTCTCTTTTCAAAGTTCTTTTTCTATGAACACTGTAATACATTAACATAGTGAGTAAAATAATGAGAACTATCATGCCTAGAACAATTGGAATAATCACAGCCTTTTCCTTAGCACTCCCCATTCCATCAGAAGAACTGTTATTAGACCTTCCCTCTTGTCCTTCTGGTGTCCATGAACTATTTGCTCGAACCTTCACAAACAAAGTAGAGCTCATATCTTCAAAACCGCCGAAACTTAAACTCCTCAACACCCAACAAAAAGGTCTTTCTTCATTTAGTCCATAAACAGAAGCAACACAATCACAATCGGACAAACATGCATCGCCGCATTTTGATACAGAAGAAACATCACTCTCACTATAATTAGCTATTATTGAAGATTCAGAAAAATAATAATTAGTTTGTTGCACTGTCGAAATTCTAAAACTCGATGTCTTGTTTTCGTTTTTTCCATTAGTACATTTTCCAACCAGAGATGAATTCTCATAACATTGTCCATCTCTTCCTAGTTTAGAAGTTCCTGGTAAACAAGTGCAAGAAGCATTAGTCTTAGTTTTATCCAATTTACATACTCCATTACCACAAATTCCACCAATATCACATGGATTTGAAACTGCAGCCCACTGTGACACCCATTGTTTCGATCCATTTACGTCTTCCCATCGGTATAACCTCAGATTTCCATTCTCTTCGAGTGTCAGTCTCCTAAGAACGGTTAACGGTGTAGATTGATGAATTGCAGAAGCTAAACCTGCATCATCATTATCATTCTTATAAACATAAACTGCACCATCAGATGAATTTCCATATACAATTCCAAAGCTTCCGGCTTGATCTAAAACCGCGATAACTTCTCCGGTTACATTGGAAATATCAGGACCTTGCCAATAAGAATAGTTTGCATATGATTCATTTTCATCAAAAGTTTGGTAACTTTCTGGAAGATTGTAAGTTAGTGCAAGACTTAAAGAAGTTGGTTGCTGAAGCATTTTGAGAGCATAGTAGCCACCATGAGATGAGGATTTTGATGATGTTAATTCTGAAGAAACTGTTAGAGGCTGGTTTGGGAGAAGTGTGTTTGAAGGTTGAGAAAAACTCTGCCATATAGGGTGGTTGTTTGTGCTGTGAAGGATGAAGTTACCAGATTCTGACATGGTTGCTGATTCTACATTAGCATTTGATGTGTTTGAGGCCCATATGGTGACTTTTTTGTCGACGAGGACGAGGTTTCCTGTTGTGTCAAGCTCCAAAATTGCTTCTTGAGATGTAGGTGAGTTTCTGTTTGGATTGAAAAAGAAAATTAATCAGTTCATTGAGAGAGTATGATAGTGCAACAACGAAACATGGACACGATACAGGTATCAGATACATCAGTTATTGAAAAATCTAGGATAAGATACGAAAGTAGTGATATTAGTTAATAGCAGATGTACCTATTGGGTGACCAAACGAAAGTTCAATCTCCTGGAAGGCTAGCAAACCAAATGCCTAACGTGAATAATCGATTATCAGTGTCTGATGGAGTGAAGCCGATAGTGAATGTTCCGTTATCAGGTAGTCCCGAAAAACGATCGAAGTTCATAATCATACTAACAGAGCAAATTGGAAAAAAAGTTGAAAACTAACTTGTCTCAGAATAATCACCGGCAGCCACCGTGATCGAACACCGACAATAAATCCATCACCAACGACTCTAACTATTTGTAATTTCTTCATTACATTGACTCTAACTGTGGATGACTGAAAGCAGATTGAAACTCTTGCACTATTTAGATACAAAACCATTCAAATATTGAATCACATGCAGACTACTTCTCCAAAATCCTTTATTGTGAGCATGCTTTGGTTCAAAATTGGGTGCAGAAGTCAAGTAGTTTATGATAATTAGCCATACATATAAGATGTAACTTTTTTTCCTATGATAAATATACTTATATACAGTCTATCAATATAAGTAATGCACGTACATCAGAATTGGAAACAATATATGTTAACTCGTCATACTTCCTCTAAATCCTGTAAGATACCCTTTATCAGAATTGATGAGGCGAGTTTGAAATTCTGCCCACTCACTCTTGCATCTCATTATGACCCCGTTTACATGATGAAAACCACAAACTCCTTGTTACTATATCGCACAAATTTCACATACAGTACATCAGAGAATTGTGACAGTAATATCGTTTTCGTGTCAAATAAACATACCGCATCATATTTGTCTTTTCCATGATCATATTCTCCCTGAAATTTGTAAATATAGATCTAAGAATTACTTTTAATAAAAAATTTGCAGGTTGAAAGCACAATCAGTTTAGTTTATTATATCAGAAAATGTGTAGCAGTAAATATCTATGTAAGTTAGTGATAATGACTAACTCGTTCACCAAGAGTAGGAATTGTTTGATGAACAATCCATTGTTCATCAACCACACCAATTTTTTCATGTGCTGGCTACCAAAAAAGTAAACAAAAAGTAAGGCATTGAAGGGACCAGAAACATATGAAATAGAACCATGAATTATGAAACGACGTTAAATCAATAACACTTAAATAACACCGACATAGAAAAATCGAAAAACATGCTTGCTATATGTTTAATAGTTACTGTTATTGATGTTCCACATCCTTCAATAAGTTTGTTAAGAGAACCCAAAGCTGCAAAATTTTTGCTCAGTTTAGAATATATTATGAATAAATCAAATCTTAGAAGCATAAACAAAGCTGCAACCTCATTGTAGCATTGTAAATCCATGAAATCTGAGGAACCACTAAGCTGCAAACCAGTAAATTTGCAATTTCATCAGTATAATTACAAATTTAACAGCCTTGGATATATTATATTTAGAACATTTAGACAAAAGCATGTAAAAGCATGTTGCAACTCAAATATTACAAACTAAACAGAGCTCTAACATCAACTAAACACCACCAACATCAAACCTGAAAGCGCACCAGGCCAAGACAGGTATGAAGTATAATCATGAAAAGATACACTAAAAATAATAGAACAACGATGTACCGAATAAACTAAAACAGATCAACAATGCAATAACAAAGGGCAAAAGTTTGCTTCATGAGAATAGCCACTACAATAAGGTTGAAACATAATTTTTTCAGGTATTTCTTAAAATCATTTCTTTTGCAGTCACACCACACCAGGAATCAAGTTCTCCTATTTTGTCTTCTTCAAAATATATTTTGTTTCCCTGTTTCAAATATTGAAGAAATAAAAACTGTGAAACACCGACAACATTGTAAAAACAGTGAAACACCGACAACATTTAAATTCATAGTTAGACAATAGTACATGATCAAAACCTAAATTGAAGTAAAATATTTCAGATACCTATGTTATTCTCCAGTCCATGTTGTTCTTTTCTTCTTGTCGTCACCATCGCCATGTTTAAGATTCTCATTACAGCTACTCAAAATCACGAATATCCGTCAACACAAAGACATCATAACGCTCACAAACAACACAGAGAGGGAGTCTAGTTAGGCTTCCAAAACTTACATAAAGTACAGACTCATTTTGCTTTGAGTTAAGCCAATTTAGCCACTCTGCCTCTTTTCCAAGCTCCTCTATTTGTCCCCTATTGACCTTTCTTTCATTATCCTTGTTAGCCCAAGCAGAAACTGGTCCAACACTCCATGATTTGATCCCCATTCTAGTTTTACTAAGCTTCTCATATTCACTTTCAAGTTCATGAAAACTATTGTATAGTGTCCCATAGCTTCTTACCTCAGATTTGAACATTGGTTCAAAATAGGCTGTGGCGGCATTCTTCTCCCTTACCCAATCAGGAATCTGCAGAGGGGTCATCTCAATGGTATGAGGCAAACCAGGAATTTTGAATTTTTGCGTATCAGAAACTAAATTATCATGTGGTCTATACTTCATGATAAAGTGAGCTGCACAGTTGGAGAAATAGCTTGAGCTGTAATAGTAAATCCTTGGAATGTTTAGTTTTTGAGCTGCTTCCGCAGTCCAAGCATACATCATATCAGTGACTATGCAATCTGGTTGAAGATCTTGAAACAGTACCTCGATTGGATTTTGGAGCATCCATATTCCATGGCTGATTTTACCAAGCATTTCAAGAGAAGTGCCATCTTTGATGTTCTCAACACCATCAGAGAGACCAACTTGAGCTGAAGGGAACTGAATAAGCCGAGTTTTGATGGAGTATCCTGAACTGAAGTCAGTGTCAATGGTTTTTTGGAAGGTTGAAGCATTGGCATGTGTGGCGATGATGGTTACATTAACACCTTGTTTGGCAAATAGCCTTGCTGTGTCTATCATAGGAATCATATGGCCAGGAGTTGGAAATGGAAGAAAACTAATGCCAAAACTAATGCTATTCCATAACAAGTTATGATAGAATAAATGAATAATGCACTCTGCAGCAATATATTAAAACGTACAAGCAAGTACTTACTCACTGTCAGGGAAAGAATGTTGTTGTCCATCCCATTCTTTAAAATAAACATTTCTTGCACGCTGCAAGTATTAGATAAAGCTGAAATAAACTTCAAGAAATATATGATATCATGCAGACTGAAAAAATAAACAGCACAAGTTTTCACACAAAAAGGCATGGAAACCTGATTCCCTCCTTCTTGAAGTGCAGTAACTTCTTGTGAAGTAAAGTTAGCCATTGAAACTGATTTCACCCGATGTGTAAGTTCACGGCTGTAAATTCCCACAAAAACCTCATGAGTTTTGAAGAATGGCCACCATGAACCATAAAAACATGTATTCAACTCAAAGCACATGGTTGAAATATAGGTATTACAATAAGCAGAACTCTTGTAAGGACTTACTGTATTCCGCTACAATTAGTGCAAACAAACGTCCAGAAATTTGTGCACACATATTGTGGTCCCTTCAAAAGTATAAAAATAAATAAATTAATGCAACGGATTTGTTATAGCGCCAAATGCAATAATTTCCTTCCTAGATTCTGAAGAATACAATGAAAATGCTCTAAAACCTGGTTAGAAGTTTTTAAACATATAAAAGTCTACAGATACAAATATGATTATCAGCAAAATTTCAAATTTGTCTCTTTAATAAGGACCCCATTTTTCCATGGAATATAGAGAACAATAGGGAGCTAAATGCTATAGATAAATTTGTTAGTACACCTACCAAGCCACCAACCAATGAAACAAAAACTAATAGTATTAGTAATACCTCGGCGGCCTAATCACGAAATTGATGAATTGCTCAATCATCTTGCTTCTACATGTATCTCATAGCAACTGCGCGTCATGAGATGAGCTTACAATTATAATGAACTAACTCTCGGAAAAGCAAAAACTCAAAATTATCCAATCTCCACCATCTTCACAACTCAAAGCTTCTTATAAAACCCCAATTCAAATAACCAGATAGATATTTATGAAGCTCAACACAAGTTAGCTATCAATATCCAATTCCTGTGAAAAACAACACCAATTCCTGGATTCCATAGAGCATATAAACAGAAAATGAGTATGAAAAAGGTGAATTACTAGAAGGAGAAGCGTGAAGCTGTTTAGCACGATCATTACAGCTACCTAACAATGCAGGAGGCAGAGCTTGATCCTTTTCGATGACACGATCTTCTTCTTCGATAGCTTCAAAGACACTAGCTCTTAATTCAGCCTGAAACATGAAGAAGAATTGAAAATTATGGATCTGAATAAGAAAACCCTAAAAATGAAGAAAAGGGAGAAGAACAATGAAATACTCAGATCCTAGCGAGAACGCCTTTCTTCTCAAGAGTGCGAGTCACGAGGGTTTTGAGGTCCATCATCTCTCTCGTGTAATCGTCCATTCTTTTCGATTTTCACTTTCCAAACTTCTTCTTCTTTTTCTCTTTGTGCGCCAAATCCCCAATTTATATCAATAATACCAATGTTTTTTTTATCAATTAATTAATTAATTCATTATTATATATAACATAGCGCTTTTTAATAAATGCTATTATATAGGTAGTCAAATAATAGCGTTTTGGTACAAAGTGCTATCTTAAAGAAGTTTAATAATAGCGTTTTGGTACAAAGTGCTATCAAAATTACATAGTCTGTATTATATAATAGCGCCCGATTAAAAAGTGCTATTATAAATGTGTTTTTTCCATTTTAATAGCATTTTTTTTAAAAGTGCTATTAAATTAGGTGATACAAAAAATCATTTTTGGCGTAGTGATAAAATATAGAGAAGATGATGGTTCTGTGTAGAGTTTCTCTTTATCTACAAACTGTGGAAAAAATCATATTCACTTGCAACTGCAAATTCTGTGAATACAAGTTATTTTTAAAATAGGTGTTACTCCCTCTATTTGTAATTGAGCTAGCTTGCTCCCTAAACCAAAGCCCAAAAACTATAAAAGCCTAAAATAATTGAAATTCGGATATTCAGATCTCAGATGTCCTAAGAGATATCGAGACACCTTTCTCTGAACAAACACACAATGACAAGATAAACGATAAACATAGTACAGGAAAATAAAGAACATACTGAATTGTTAACTCAGTTCGGTGTACAAGAACACCTACTCGGGGAGCTACCAAGCCAGGGACCAAGTCAACTATAATAAATAATATAAATTTGAAGCTAACCCTCCCTCCCCCCGTTTACAACTTCTCACTTAATCACTACTCTTGTTTAATTTCTACCTAAGACTCACCTAGGTATGAGACCCTTCTTAAATCCCTTATAGTCACAAAACAGTTACAAGAATACAATTCAAAAGAATTACTTAGAAGACCCTCTTCAAAGACACACAACCATTCAATGCTTAAAAGATTATGAATGACTGACAAAATTTACAACTCAACAAAGACAATTATACTCTTCTATCAAAGTGATATTAGAGAGGCTCACAATTAACAAACAAACAATCTTAATACATTTACTAAGACACAGTGCTCAAATGACACACAAGAACCATTAAAATCATGTTTTACAACGCTACACCTTGCACTATATCTTCCACACATGAATAAGGGTTGAAGCCTTCTTTTTATTACCATGAAAGGATTGAATTTGGGCTTCACAAAAGTAGCTAGATATGAAAGAGGAGCTGCAGAATTATATCCTCAAAGATGGGAAATCAATCATTAGTTTCCTAAATTATCTCCATAATTAGAAACTAAGAATACTCCTTGAATTCAGCTTGAATCATTTTACTCTTCAAATTGTGCGCCATATATGATAGCATAATATTTCTAGAATATTATGCACCTGTAACAAACTAAAACATCTAGCAGTTTAGTTGTACAAAGTCACAATATCGAAAGAAACTGCATAGGATATCACATTCGACATGTTGCTCCAGTTGATAAAACATCTTATTTCAACATGTCTATGCTAATTTAGTCTTACCAAACATAATGTCAATCACAATAAAACGAATAATTAACAATATCCCCTTTGGCTTATTTTGGCTAAAACTACTTAGTACTTCTTCCACACATGAACAATAATACAACTTAGGTTTGAAAAGAAACTCAAACACACAAACAATTAGAGGCACAATAGCAGATGTCAGTACATCAAATATCAGATCAATAGTTAGTGGAAGCTACTTCAACACAACAAACAAGAGAATATCAAACTCTCAACATGTTAGGACATCATGTCTGGAAAATCTTCACAGCACTCCAGTCCAGAACAGGGACTCCCCCTCAAAAGTAGCAAGGTAGCCAACAAAAATTAGTGGTTAGGCATCAGTCATAACTACTATACTACTACTCCCATTTTTTATCCATAAATCAAGACAAAGGCAACACCTAACCACACAACCCAAATAACATTAGCACATAGAGTGCACAATACCAACAACCAGAAACACAACCAACCAAAACACACACAACAAAGAAAGTCATCACTAAGACATCACAACAACAAAAGCCACCAAGATCCTGAAATTTTCACAACAAGTCAGCTATTCAAACTGACCACCTGATTTTATGAAGGAGACCCAATCTTCATCTTTGTCAAAGAGAGTTTCCCTATTACACTTTATGAAATATTGTAGTCACCGTTCTTCACATCAGAAATATTAACCTTATTTCCTAACTTGGCTTCCATCACATGGACCTTTTCAGCAGCACTATTTCTGGAGACTTGACATATGGTGAAACACAAGTTTGTATGAAAGAGATACACTAAAAGAGACATTCTTTTGGTCCACGTTCTCTCTTTTCAAGGTTTGACTGCCTCCTAGTGTGTAATTTCAATAATACTTCACACACACGAAATATTGAAGCAGAACCATACTGCTCAAAACATAAAGCTTCCCACTGAATTCCAAGTCCACTATTTTCAGCCAGGCTCAGCTGAAAAAACTGATCACAATGTCAAAACATCATGTCTGACATCTCACATCCAACAACAAAACCCCATTTA